GAGTGCCGGCTTCGTCCCACCTGGTGTATGACTGCTCGCACGGGGAATGGCTGCTAGCTCAAATGGCGTACGACCGGAAGATTCGCCTCTTCTCGAGCAGGTGGTTACCGCGGTCACCTCACTACACATGCATTGATGTGCTTGGTTGTCGCCATATTGGTGTCGTGCTCTCGCGATTTGGAAGCTCAGGTGTAATCCTGAGTTATTCAGACATTTTCTTTGTACTTCAAGTACATTTTTGGCATTTTATCTACGCACTACTATGGACAGTTTGCTTGGTTTTTAGTTTTAAGGGGCAACGGAGAATCCACGCTCGAACCGCAGTGTACGCTCCTCATTTCTAGTGTTTTCGGTTGTCCCATTCAACTTTGCACCCCCATCCATCTTGAACCCTCAGCCTGCCTGTCCAAATGAGGCATTTGAATTGTTGTGCCGCACGACCTTACACGATGCGTGTCTTCTGATCCCACTCGCTTGTCACAGGTCGGTTCGGCAGCTCTTGAGCATCTCGTCGTCATTGCCGGACAACTCGCGGTGAGCTGGTCCAAGCCTTTTAATCCCCATCTCACCATTCGTTCCAACCCCATTTTGTACCACACTCGCGCGCGTGATATGGATTGAACGTCGACGATAGCCCTGTTCTCAGCTTTTTACCACTGGATTCAACTTTTTGTGGAACTTCTTCCCTCCCTTTTGGCCGCAGGTTTATCTTTTCGGGGGCGCTTGTACCGAAGCAAATGAAACGTATTTTGAAGATGAAAGGACTCAGCGCCGTTGTGGCCAGAGACGCGGAGAGTGTGGTGGCGATGGAGGAGTCCATTGATGCGGTGCGTCTACAAGAAGGCTTCGTGAAGGCTTTTCGGATTAGCGATCTCCTTCGAGTTCGACCCGCTTACCGAAGAAATCTGCTTGTGCTTCACAAGAGCTAAACTGAATTGCGACACGGAAAGCTCTCCTCCGACTTCTAGTTTTTCATCCTTTGGTGCTGTCCAGCGCATACGCCACCGAGCTACTGCGTTTGCACATGCACAGCAGACCATCGTCTATCTGCTGTGTTGCCGGTGTGTTGCGTTCGTGATGAGGAGTTGCACGAGACACTGAAAGCCTGAATATTCTCGGCGGTTGTTTCTTGCTGGTGACGATCCTCATTTTCAGGAGCGAAAGCGTTTGGCGGCGAAAGGACTCTCCAGAATAAGTCAATCTCGTGAGCGCTACTTGCTAGAAAAGGGAGGCGGCGAAAACGGAGCGAATCCTCGGGGACCAGTGCAAAGTCTGGTTTCCGGGCTGCGCACGTTTGTCCGAATACAGGAAGGGCAGACAGTCGACGATGTGGCCGAAATCGTCAACACCATCGAGCAAACGTGAGCGAGACCTGTGTCACTAGGTGCATTTTCATCGTGAAAAGAATGTTCTGAACTTTTTCTCAATGCGAGCTCGACATAAAAAGGGAGGGGCGCAGCAACTGCTCAAGAAACCATGATGTTCTGTTAATTGGCCAAAACGCGAAGCGCGTATTGTGGGGGGAGCCAGGTGTGCCACTCCTATCAGTTGCACCCGTAGAAAAATATTTGGAGGTCTCTTGGGCTGATTCAGCGTTGGTTGCGTGTCCACAGGTGCCGAAACATTTCGGTGGTTGGGCTGTGGGGAGGCGATATGGACCCGGAGACGTGTTTAAACATGCTCGAGGTCGTCCGTACAAAATCCGGCATACCCAACTTAAGGGTAAGAGGTTGCTGTTGTTGTGTGCGGGTTCCCGGAAGGTAGAGTAGTGCGGTGGGTTGCACACGTAGAAGGGCAACTTGACAACCGTTTGTTGTACCATGTGTAGCACATCCCCATATCTATCGAGCCTTCATCTACCACACTCGATCACATTGTAACAACACCTTCCACTTTTTCGCGTTTTTTCTCTCGCGTTGCGAACCAGGTTGCATTGGAGCACCTTGGCCCCAAGAGTGCAGAGTGGTTCACGGGGTTACGTGGTGCAAGAAGAGGGCCGATCATGTGGACGTTCAACTACGAACTGTGACGTAGCACTAGGCCGTGTCAACCTCAGTTGCCTACGTTCGCATGCAACAGGGAACGGTTTCAAAGCAAAAACACCGAGGTTTCTTGACTTCACATGACAAACGTTCTGACCGCCGAAATACTATGCCGTTCGTACTGATTCAACCGGTAAGCGACGAATGATGTGGCAGGAGAGGGACAATCGAATTGAGGGTATTTTCCCACCAAGATATTCATTCTTTCATCATAGAATCAAAGCGGGCCGCTAGCCAATATTGAGTCGAGCTCTACTCTTGGTAGGAAAGGACACAACCACAACGCAAGTTTAACATGCGTTCGGCACATGGTACTCCATGCTTCGTGAAAAATGGTGAATTGATCTCGTTTGCGATATATCCTACCCAGATCTTCTCTTTCAAGCCCGTAATTGTCGCCCTATATGTGCAAATAGTAGCTCCCCGCCTGCATGAATGGATGCGCGAAGTATGCAGCGACAGTGCCACCTGCACGTTGCAAAACGTCATGGGCACGGGTAAATCAACATTAGTTAACAGGCGCGGTTGCCTGCGGATGAGGTATTTCCGATCCAGGTTCTCACGCAAAAAAAAACACCACAGTATTAGCAGCCGAGCGAAACATGAAAACGCAGCAGTACACCGTGCGCGCCCTCACCGGCAATGATGAAGTACGGTCCTCGTGCGAACTCCTTCCAATAATCGCTAGGAAGTTGTTGTCGACCCTCAAAAATAGCCTGCACAGCACGGAAAATATCGTCAGACAGGCGAGGCCTCCGGACGCGCTCGCTTAACGGGGCCTCCTTCTCATGGTAGGCTTGCAAAATACTCCTTTGCTTGTGGGTCTCGCAGTCTTGGTGTACGTACGACCCTGGTTGGGTTTTTCGCGTCGCGGGTTGATCCGTACACCAAGCGATCACCCACAACGCCCCTCTTCTTGACTACCTGGTACTTGTTTGGACGCGATCAAGACGCACGCCACACTTGGCTGTACCTGCAGAAACCTGCCATATACACTACGAAGTACCGTAAACGTCAGATTTCCCCCCCCCTAGTAGAGATTTCTACTCCCCCCATTACCTTTTCGGCCTGGAAGCATGGTTTCTTCAATGTAGCCCCGGGGTAGATCATTTTCGACCAAAAAAAAAAAGATCCCCCCGGGTATTTCAATTTCCCCCCGTAGTACCAGTTTTCCCACGAGTTCCTCTCGGGGGGGATGCATTTCTCTAATTTTTTGAGTCGATTTTGTTGCATCGCGGAGCACAAAAAGCATGATGTGGGACGGAAAAATCATTTGCAGATCTGCGCTTCGAGCGAGATTAAGGTGTACCGTTTGTCACTGGAAGGCGGGCCCTTCCGCTTTTTGGAATCACTTGCGGGACGAGACAAACTCCCTCAGCTGTCCTCCTTGCTGTATTTTTTCTCTTCGCCTTCGTTGCTCTTGCGTTCCTCCTCCCTCTGCTTGTTGAACTCTTGCTCGTAAACCTTATCCATCTCAGTTTCGCCACTCTGTGTGTTTGGTGTGTGGACAATCACTATTGCGCACAACCCCGTGCGGGAGGGCTTCCCCACGGGGGAGCGTTGAAAAAAAACATTTAACCCCCCACGGTACGTTAATCTCCCCCCGGGGGGGTTGGTTCCAGAAAAAAAACGATCCCCTCCCCGGCGGGAAAACTCCGACGTTTACGGTATATCACAGCAGTAGGCTACTGTGATGGCACTGCATGTTCCGCCCGCGGCGGACTGGTTCCGTGACGGTGACACTAGACAAACGGTGAATCTCGGCGTGGGACAGTTGGATCATCAGCCAGCATGCTCAGTTTGGGGAAGAACAAGAAAACACGACAATAACGATTTCTCACGAAAGATAGGGAACAAAACGTCTTGCTTAGAGAAATGGCGGGAAATCAACAGATGATTGAAATAGGCAATTTCATGTAGTGAAGTAGTCCATCTACTGCCTGCTCTGACGCAGTATACGCGCGAAAATTTGCGTGTTCCACTAACCAAACAACAACCAAATGGGAATGTTTTACCAGCAGTCTGCCGTACGCGTGCTTGCACAACAATGCCTGCTCCCTTTCGCCGCACACACAGAAATCGCAAGAAAGGTCAAGTACAACGGATGGCTCACCTGAAACGGTACTACGCTGGTGCGTTCTCGCACGGCTTCAAAATCATCGCCATACTTTTCCCTGGACACGAGCACAAAAGTTGGGCAAGCATGAGCGAAGATGGAACGCCACAACGATATGGAATACAATACAGAGCTAAAAGACGCGGGGCCGCAAGCATAATCCAACTTGTTATGTGACACACATCGTATGCAGCACCACTTGAGACGAACTGACGGGTCGAGCAAGATTGCTTGCCTCTCGCTTCATTACACTCACTTGAGGCGGCGATCTCCATTCCACAATGAGAATAAGTGGTGAGCCATGAGCCCAGCTGAGGTTACTGCTGTGAAGGACGTCCCCACCCACGCTAGGTGTGCTGCGCACCACAGAGCCTGCCCGAACGTCTGCGGGTGTCTTGTATGTTGAGGACGGCGAGGGGGGAAACAAGCGATTGGCATGAATTCCAACGACACTGGACCTACCTCCACTGCTTGGAGAATAAACTAGAAGCTTGTCGATGAAACGCACGTCAGAATTAGGTTGCAAGCTCCGACAAATCAGCATCCCAACGCAAATTTCAAAAGCGCAACAGACAAGCCCACCGTGTGATGCGCGTCACCCCCGTTTCCCAAAGGTGGAGTTGAGGTTTGTCCACAGCCGCAACCTATAAGCGCGAGCCACCAGTAACAGATGCAAGATGCGCAAAGGGGTGTGGTAGGGTGGGCCGTCTGCAATGCAGCAAAGTGCTTCATGTTCCATGCCCCGTGAAGAGTGGCCTCCGCAACAAAATTTCGAGTACCCACTTTTTGTCCGAAAAAGGGATGGGTATACCCTTTTTTGCCTATCTCCCTTCTCGAATCCCTCTGAGCGATTATTGAGCGAGGTGGATAGGAGTAGACTATAGGTCCTGCAAGCGTGCATGCCCTCGCGCAGGTTTGATTCCAAGGTAAAACTATACCGGTATATTTGCATTTTTTGAGAAAATCGCGTCTCTTCTTCGTCCTCTTAAACAACCAAATGATTTCATTTTGACTTCGCAGCGTTGATAGACCGCTTCCAAGCCAAATATGTAGGGGACAAGGAATGTAAACAGCTTCCGGAACGAATGTGACCAGGGCTAGCTGCACTCGTCCTTGGCAGTTCGTGAGAGGTGAACCTTGCATGTGCGTCTTGATACGAACAAAGGAGTCACGCGAAGGACAAACGATTCCTTTGATGGGGGCCTTTTCTCCGACCTGTAGTTTTAGTCTAATTGTAGAATATTTTCTGATAGAAGTCTGTTTTCTCTTTCACATTTGGTAAAAAAAACACAGCACATCTCTGCTTACGCTCTTTCTCGCTGATGGGGATGCGGTAGAGTTTTGTCCAACTCTCGCTCAGATTTTAATTCACGGTGGGGCATGGGCAGAGTTGGAAGGCTCCGAACGCCAGTGTACTACAGGCCGCATATCTTATTGCTCATAATCGTGCTGCAGCAGTCTCTGGGTGGTGAGGCATGTGGGTGTTTTTGTTCCGGCTGGCATCGCTGGTGTCTCAGGACTCTACTAAGTTTATTGTCTTGCAGATTCCCTTTAATCCTCGATGTGAAGGACTTGAACACATCTGCTCTGAGAACTGCCAGGAAGAGGTCATCTTGATATGTTAATGCTTGTCATTGTTGCTGTCTCCATACTCACAACCGTTCCGGTCTCTGCTTAGGACCTTCCAACTTTCGTGATCCAACTGAGTTCACTGCCTGTCGTGTCGTGTTATATTTGCTGAACAGTCAGTGCCAACAATGACAACACCCCGAGCTAGTGACGATAGCACTTCAGCAGTGGGGTTCCCATATCGCGTGTGTGTGCGTTGGGAAGGTGCATAGGGTGCTATCACGGGTCTAGAATGAGTTACGCGGTCATCGTATCATACCGTGACCGGCTGGTGTGCGCCATTTTCAGTCGCCTCCAGCGGGCAAACGCCTTATTCACACCGCCTCACATCGGGATCAGCATTCTGTGTGTGCACGGAATACTGTCAAGATGCCGCGGAGGAGCCAGCTAGCACCTATATTAGCTGTGTACAACTACTGCTGTATTCAGTTCTGCTTTCTCTCCCCCCGCCCGTCTCGCGGCGGAGTTGTGGGGGCACAAGAACCAGGCTTCAGTATTGGCCGGGGGCTATCCCGTAGATTATTTGCTTCGAGCGCAGTCAAGCTTTCCTTCCTCACCTCGAGAAGATTGAAAGTGCTAGGGTACAGGAACACGAACGAAATAAAGGAGGTGATCCAGCAGGCGTCGTGCACTCCAGGGACCATCTGCGCGGGAGGGACCACAGTTACCGACGGCACATACTACCAAGATTTGAAAACAAGGACGCAACAACCTTGTGAAACAACCACGCATCCACGGCAGGTGTGTCAAAACAGAAACGGGCGTATAGCTAAGCAAGCACGATAAACAATTGAACCTTGAGCTGTTTGTACTGCTACGCTGCAGCATAATCGACAAACCGAGGTCACGCGATCGTGCAGTGTGGAATATGGGCGGCATTTGCTACCTTAATGTTCCACAGCTGCACCCCGTCGTAGCGATGGTTTATGAAGTACGCCACCGCCGTCACCGCCAGAGGAAGAGATACCACTCCAAAAAGTACCCGCCAGGCCCGTGCGCCAACCAGCTCCTCCCCCTGTCGACATGCACGCAGCCATCATCTGTGTCAGTGACATTACATTGAAACTTGTAAATACAAAAAAAAAAAAACCAGGAGGGTGAAGCTGTGGCAAAAAGTAACAATGCACTCAACCCATGTACTGCCCACGTACATCACAAAAAGCACTGATATTGCCAAGCGCCGCCGAGGTGTTGCAGGAATTCACCAAAGAGCGATTGCACGTGAGCAAGTAAAATATCAGCAAGATGAGCGCGCTGGAGTGCCGACTTGGTATGTCGATCCATTAAGATAAGTGCCAAACGTCTGCGTTGCCTCCAGAACGCGACGGAACGTCTATTTAGTCACACCTCACGCAAAATAACATGAATCAGCTTACCTTAGGCCGGAGGCTCGCCAAGCCACTGTGAGCGACGGCGAATACACCGAGAATGAGAGTTACTGTGATTGTTGAGTCTCCTCCAGACAATCCCTCCAGAAATCGAACGAAATCGTCCCCTGGTCAGCGGCAACGTGCACAGCGAAAACGTGAGAAGGAACACCGCCTTGACGGAAGGGCGTGTACTCGGGAATATCACCTGAGCTGTCGATGATCTATCATGCCCTTGTTTACACCTCGTTCGGTTGGTTCTCACAGTATCAACACCGCAGCTGAGCATAACGCTGCATGACTCCTCTCAATTATGCAGGGTGGATACGGCAGGTGGACGCTGACATGATGCGCACCAAGCTGCGCAACGTACAGTCAATTTTAGCAACACAAATGGATGGAGCCAACTACGATGTGGATCTTAGAGACCGATTCCCACCGGCGCCACTGGAAATCTGGATATCCCTTGCCAGTAAAGCTTTCAACCGCGAAACCAGAGGAAACGTGTGAAGTAGCCAAAACCGGCAGGAGCTACCAGCAGCGATCGTTCACGCTGCCACATGCCATGCCTGGAAAGGCCTGCGACTCACCATATCCAGTCTCGGGCTTGAGCCACAAATAGTACAGGGCAGTCAGCACTGTACCAAGCACAGCCAGAAATGCACCCCAGCTCTTAAGGCTCTGTTCTTCGAAAGAAAACACGGCAGCGTCTTCTCCGACAAGCCCGGATTGACGCTGCAAGTCCTCGAGCTCCGATGCTGACATCGCAAGTGGATTCACCGAGGATCCTCTGTGTCGGCTGGTTGCGAAACAAAGTAAGCCCGGCAAAGTAGACCAGGAACTATGCATCAGGGCTTCACATGGCCTAGAGGGTGATTGTTGGTTCGATGTATCCAGAGTAGGCATACGAGGCGATATGCTACGGTTCATGAAACTGTTGTACGGGCATATTCTCGGGCCACAGCGTGAAGACACTAAAGAAGATACGAAGCACGGCGCAATACCACTCTCTGCCTCTGCCCACAAACGTACACCTGTGGCAAAGATCTACCGCCAGCCGCCTGCTGGGAGCTGTGGGGGTAACCAAACGGAACCTGGAGTTATCATCAGTACCTTGTACTGGCACGGGTAACCGTTGTCGGGACCAATATACGGAGTTGTAATGAGAAGCTCCAGGTAGAGCTGCAAGATGTACACGGCTTGCTTGCAGACTGAGAGATTTTGTCACGTGTTTAAAACAGTAAGAGGACATCGCGATGTAGGTTGACGGGAAATGGAGGGAGGCATGCGCACGTGCAATGTGGGACGCCAGCGACAGATACGGCCGTAGCCCGAGAACACATACAACAGATTCAGCAGTATACATATACATACTAAAATATATATATATGTATTCTAGATGTGTACGCACTGGTGTTCCTACAAGGCGCTGAATCATCATGAAACGTGCGCGGTGTGCCGTGTCGCATACTGCTGTACCGCTTGGGTAATACTTCTCACCTCTCCCTGGTGCTCATCGTAAAACCGTTCCGTGCTTTCCCTGCTCTAGCCAATTCACACGGCAATACGCGCGATGTACCAACTCGCGACCCACCCCTTGAGTATCCCACCGAGCGCAAGGCGATCCTGTTAGGCCCAACGCCTACGAAGCTCGCACATGGGGTGATGAGCAGTAGCAGAACGGGTGCAAGCCGAGCTCTGTACGACATATTTAGACTTTCTGACCTGATGGAGGCCTCTCGGTACCTGAGTAAACCAGACACGAGAGAGCAAGACACTTCAGATGTGCATAAGGTCAAGGAACGGCAACAAGTCAACCGCGAGGAGGTCGGGGGGGGTATCAAGGGGGGCACACAGCCGCGAACTCCATGTACCACATACCCATGAATTTCACACAGATCAGCCACTCCTCAGCACCTCAGAGGTCATTGTGCTGTTGCTGTCCTCTGCTGGTCCTGAGTCCACACTTTTACACCCCTATTCCCGAGTGACCCCAAGCATCATGTCAGCCCAGGAGGTGAGAGTTCATCAAGAACACCACTCCCTGTGGAATACTTCTTTCCATTCGTTTCAGCAGCAAACTCCACAAGGATATGTGATGCCATTGTATCCATGGCTGTAGGCGACGCCCTTTTCTAGAAAACGGAGCATACATACACTCGCAGAGAGTCTGCCGTTCGAGCTATAACCATAGTAGCAGCACTGAAGCAGGACCATCGCCTCTCAGCACCAGGCTGGCCTTGTCACGATTTCTGTTGCGCCAGCTTTTGGTGGAACCGAAAATACGGAACTATACTGCACGTACCTCAGAAAACCCCAGCATTTCCTCACGCGTTCTCGACTTGTCCCACGATTGAGACCGGGAGAGCTGCTCAGTAGCAAGCAGGTCGTCAGCTGGTGGGCATGATTGTTGTCCGCTCACTCTAAGCGTAGTTGTGTGTCCGCGACTACACCATGGTACTTGGAGAGAAAGCTAGTAGTTTTGCCAGATACTTGTGCCGTGGGAATTGGAGTTAGGGCCAGTTCGCGTGTAAGCTGTAAGGCGAAAGGAAAGTCTTGGAACATCTGCCGACCGAATGCATCGTGAGAGCAGCGAAGTACACTCTGCTGTAAGTCCTGCGTCGGATCTTCTAGAAAATGGGCCGGGTCTTTACATAGGTATATACTAGTATATATTGTACCAAACCGACACATCACCCACCGGGCCGATTTTCAAAGCTCAATAATTGTTAAAGTCGATGACAAAGAGCGTGGCGTATATGAAATTATACGTTGTCGGAAAGCTCTCAAGGGGTTTCCAACGCCATTTCCGTCGCGTCGTTACCGTCGCTGGTATCAGAAGTACAGTACGAAGTACATCGCAAAGAGGGTATGATATCTTGTGTCACTCATGTCTATACTGCAACAACCTCTGAATTATTTTTTTCAAGTGATCCTGAGATTCTTCGGAATGCTACGGTAGTACTATTTAGCTGCACGTGCAGCATTTTCAGCGGTGATGACCTGAGGCAACCACTCATTGTCTATTGCGTAGAAGTACCATTTTACGTGGTACGCCGTGGTACATTTCGAGGACCTGTCTCTGTTATGATGCCCCGCTATATGGTATGAAGGCCACCGCGAGTATTGTATACGAAACGAAAAGAAATCGGGCCAAGGCTCATTTTCCTATCCGTCGCCACCATCCGTTGTATGGACTTGAGTGTAGGACCGAGCTGTGCGTTGTATTACCAAAATGGTGTACCTTTTTGTCGGTGAAAGTGAGAAGTTTGAGCGTCTTTTCTGAACGGAATACTCGTTCGTTGCGGGCCTATTCTGGAATCCAATGTCCTTGTTTTACCGTGAACCTTGACCGCGGTTAAGCCTATTGTAATCATCAATGCTGCGACCTATACGCGATAGCAGTACTACGAACGCCATTGCCGAGCTGACCTAGCGCGATAGCTACGGCCCTTGCATTGTTGAGCTCTCGTTCGTTGTCACCTTTTGTCGTAAGGACCCTTCGCACTTTGATACAAACGAGCACCGTGTGCTACCTTGGGTGCCTTCGCGTCTCCCCGTTTCTTGGTCAAACAGTGGAAAGACAAGGGCAACGCTGCCCTCAAAGCCGGTGATTTCGAAGAAGCCATCTCATCGTACACCAAGTGAGAGACAAAAACTGCGGATGCTTGTATTGGAACTCCCTGCTCAGATTGTCGAGCTGGGCACCTTTCTCCGCCATCCTCGGAGGAACTTGCAAACAAGATGTGATGTTGGTGTGTAGTTCACGCTATTTGGTAGTTGTGTGATTCGTCATATTTCCAGCACCAAAGTTTCATCCCACATCCCTGTCGGACAAATGGGAGATTTGGATCCAAAAAGTTGTTGGGAAAAGAGTCTGAGGAACTGCTATTGTGTTGTACTCCGAAATATTTCTTACTTCGCATCAAACGTCCTCTTAGCGCTCTCTCCATCGCGACGAACGAAGCTATTCACCAAGCAGTAGATGGGGACGAAGCCTCACCTGTCGCATACCAATAGAAAAGGCAAGATCCGAAGGAAAACATTTGTGTCCATTTTCATGCATTCATCGTAGGTTCTGGGTTGATAGGTTTTTGGTTGTGCTGGAGTTCTGGTCTGTTTTCTCAATGATGTAGCCGTTCGAATTTGTCTCACTTTTTTGCACTGGATCCTTCTTTGGTATGTTTGTTCGGTGCAGGGCCATTGATCTGGATCCTAGCAACCACGTGTTCTTCTCTAACCGCAGGTGAGGAAAATCGAGTCACAAAAGTATGCAGGGAGCAGTGGCCAAGGACAAATATTTCATGGTTTTGGAACCAGCCATGAGTATGCAAGGTCTTGGAAATGGCTTGAGCCAAATCTGTTCACCGCCTGTTTGGCCTTCGTACAATGTATGCAACCCCGAATGACCACGGATAACTGCTGTGTCTTGCACTGCAGTGCTGCTCATCTTTCAAACGACAACGCTGAGCAAGCGCTCGCAGACGCCGAGTCGTGCATTAAGGTCAACGGCTCCTGGGCGAAGGGTTTCGCGCGAAAGGGGGCTGCTTTGCACAAACTCAAGCGGTAAGCTTCATGTGCCCGAGACTTACCTTAAAAGCGAACATCTTGAGGGGATACGCCCGCCCGCCATGTTCAGATTGCGGATGTATTTTCCCGAGCGAGAGAAGGGTCCAGAGTGCATGGAAACAGATCCTCGAATGAAAATGAAAAACGCTTTTCGCTGTACAAGTAGCCCATTTCGAAGATGCCACGATTTTTGCGCCCGGACTTCTTGTGTTGATTGACCCACCCCATCGATTATGGTGGTGGCAAAAACGACCACTATATACTAGCGCTGGCACATGTGCCACCCGTGCTGCAGCATGTGGATGGACGAAAAACCGTTTCCCTTAATATCGAACCCCTAGACTGTTTTTCTCCGACTTGTGTTTTGTTCACGACTTTGAGGTTTCATACAGCTGCTCCGGTGAAACCGTCACTTTCGTCATGGCGGCGCGCCTCATAGAGACTGCACACGTTTAGATATGATCCCATCCTTCAGTCCGGAACAGCAATTCGTTTGCCTATCACGTCCTTCCGTTTCGAGGAATACTGCGTTACGATAGCTCGAAAGACCGTGGTAAGCAGCCGCAAAGCATGTTCTGCTCAGCGATATGAACATATCATGAGACGAACTTGACATGTACACATACGCGGTACGGGGAAGATTGTGGCCACTTGGCACTTGGAGGCAGGCCAGATGCATTGGTTGGATCGCGATCGTGAGGATCATAGTCGACGTCAGCGCTAAGCAGCAAGTAAAAAAGTAAACGGTGCAGAATCACTTCGTCGAAAGCAAGCACGCTTTCAAGAGTCGAACGTTTTACTACGTCCGGAAGGATGGCACCGATAGATTTGCCGCTTTAGTAATCTACAGCAGCTGCACACTGTCGACGAGTTTTTTTACCAGATCTTTATGTTGGATCGCCACGATAGGTGGGTTGATGCCACCTTCACAAATGAAGACTGTGTCCCACCTTCTAAACGTTGAGAAAAGAAAAGGACATTTTCCCACGCGCGGCACTTCGGATGGTATGGTCTGAGGCCAACTTCCTGTGGTACAGCGACAATGAATATTCACGTTTACTCACAACGCAGGTACGAAGAGGCGGCGAAAGCCTACGAGGAAGGCTTGGAGACCTCACCAGGAGATGCGGCGTTGGGACGCGGACTCCAGGACGTCCTGAAAGCAAAATCAGCGAGCAAGGCCCCTGCTGGTGGGAAGCCGACGTCTAAGTGCATGTGATACATTTCGCATTTGTCTTTCTTATATTACTGTTGGGCACTGAGCCAGCTTGTGACTCTCCTGATTGGACATCATTTGCACCTATCCCTGTGGGTGTAATCCACCACGGCGGCGAAGCGTCACGGGATCGCATTTTTGTACTGGTACTGCTTGCCCAGCAGCAGGTGGAATGGGCGGCATGGGCGGGAACAACCCAATCGCGAACGCGTTCGGTTCAGACATGATGGCGAGGCTGGCCGCTGAACCAAAGTTCGTGCCGTACTTGGCGGACCCGTCGTTCGTTGCCAAGCTCAAGATGCTACAGCAGGACCCCAACAACATGCAGATGCATCTGTCAGACCCGCGAATCATGGAGGTAAGCGCCTTGTGCCTACTTGACCGACATAAGCGACTGTTTTTCGGGAAGTTGTTTGTTGCAATCTGGTCGAGCTTGCGCAGGACCTGGACGGAATCGTGTTTTTTTTCGAAGAGGTTGGTTTCTGACTTGTTGTGACTTCACGTTTTTCATGCA